CAGGTCAGTGCAGAGGGTGGGGGGCTTCCCGGTGCCGGCGGAGCAGAGGTGGATCCTGGCTCAGGAGCTTGGAAGCGGCGCGGTTGTCATCCGCGGCTGCCGGGGGCCGGGTGGGAGCGGCAGCCTATTGGGCTGTTTAGGTGGGAGGCGGGGAAGGGGGTACCGGCCTTGGCCCCCGCAGGTTCCTTGTCCCACCTAGGGACAAGAACGGATCGGTGAGCAGAGACCTCTTGCCCGTCCCAGCCAGTAGTCCCGCACGCGAAATCCCACCAGGAGGGTGGGCGAGTGGGAGGCTCGGGAGCTCCCAGCGGAGCTCGGAAGGGGCGCAGTCGAGTAGGGGGCGCGCCGGCCTGGATGCTGGGAGTCCCGAGCCTTCAGTGGTCTGGGAGCCACTCCCACAGGCCATCGCCACCCACCCGGCCAGAGGTGGGGCTGCCGCCCGGGCCGTTAGGGTGTGTTAATGGGGCACTGGCCCCTGGTGGCAGGGGAGTATTTTCCTGAGTCGGTACCCACGGGTCACGCAGTCTCAGCCCAGCTAAGCGTTTCCAGGACCTATCCTGGCCCAGCCCAAAGAGAGGCAGACTCCGGGAGGGTAAGGTCCAGGGCTTCCCGAGAAGGGGCTTCTGTGGAAAGACAGGTAGGAAAGAGTTCCCAATGGGACATGGGAGCCGAGGGCCCTGGCGGACCTGTTTGAATTCCCTCATTTGTACAGTCCTAGTGAGTGTGATGGAGTGTCTCCCCTCCTCCAGGTTTCCACTGTCCCCCCCCCCAAGGGCTGCTGGGCAGACTCTGGCTCATCCTGCTTCCCCCCTTCCACCCCTTGGGGTGGGATCACATCCATCCATAGGGTCAGCACCCTCAGGTCAGGAGACTAAGAAGACATGAAAGAGCAAACGTTTCCAGGACAGGTTTTTACATTTTTCTACCCCCTGGGCCACTCCCCCAGGGCTGCCCACTTGTCTCCCTACCTGGCCTCACTTCTCACATACAGAGACTCACCCTGTCTTTATTTTTTGCTTTTTAAGAAAAATTTATTTTGCCTTTTTAATACAAAGAAAATGTATCTATTTTACATAAAGTAGACTATTGCTAAATACAATGAAAATTAAAATCCCTCAAATCTCCTCCTTCCCCAAAGACCATTGTTTTGGGTAAATACACAAGTATTAATGTTTTCTACCAAAAAGCTATTGGTGTGGGGGAGGGAGACTCAAAACTAATTCCCCTGTGCTCAGACCCAGGGTAGGACCATCACCAGGTATTTTTCTTGCCAGGTCTGGGTGATGCTGCATGGCCCCTGCCCAGTTACTCTCCCGGCATTGGCTCTCATAATAAGATCTGGGGCCGATCTGAAACACAGCTTCCCCAACATTGTCCAAGGCCGTGGTCCTGGCTCCTCCTGGCATCCCTCTCTGAGGTTCTCTGTCCCTCATGTAAATGGATGCCAGCTGGGGCCACCCCATCTGTCCTGCCCAGAGCAATGTCAGTCCAGGGTGCTCACAGCTGGGGCTCAGCACCACTCCTAACCCACAATATGTAAATGCCAGACCAGAGAATAAAGGAGTATGGCTGATGGGGCAGGAGGTGGGGTCTTGAGCCTATTTTTATAGGATAAGGGTGAGATGTTGCCTCAGGTGAAGTGGAGAGGAAGAGTCAGGCCTCATGGTGCAGTAACTGGGAGGACACTGAAATGGAGGGCAGTGCAGTGGTTCTCTGGCTGGGAATTTCGCCCCCTGGTCTAGGGCTAGGATTTTGTCAGTAGATGGAAGAGATACTAGAACCACCGGGCCCTGGTTCTCTCTAAACAGGGAAGGAATCTGTAATAGAACAATTTGAGTTGCATAAGAGAAGAGCCCAGCTCCAAGTATTTTAGAACAAAAAGGAATGATTTAGCTCACATAACTGAGAGAAGTCCAGGGTGCAGCTGAACCAGAGGCATAATGTGGTTAGGAGTGCACCTCTTCACCTCTGAGTTCTGTTTCCTTCTGTGTCAGTTTCTTTCTCAGTCAAGCTCTTGCCAACCAGTAGCAAAGGAGGGAGACTTACCCTTCCTTCAAGTTCAGCCCCAAGGGAAGGGAAACTAGTGCCTCTTTCCTATTGGTCCAGCCAAAGTTGCAAGTTGCTTGGTCCAACTTCAATCTACCCAACTCTGAACTAATCATTTTAGAAAGGTGAATGGAGTATGCAGATTGGCCAGACCTGTTTCATATGCCCACACCTGGAGCTATGGAGTGGGGTTAGCCCTCCCTATAGCCCAAAAGTCAGTCAGGATTGGGGAAAGGAATCTGGCCAGGCACAAACTACGGGTATCCTTTGAAGTGAAGTCAGAATGTATAGTAGGAACACAGGTGAGAAAACTGCTGTAGTGGGAGAGGGGGGCTGTGGTCCTAAGGGATCCTGGAAGTTCAAGTTTAAGCTGGGGGCATACCAGGACATGGGTCTGGTTGGCTGTGAGGCATGGGCACCACCCAGGATGAAGATGTCTCCTGTCAGCTTTGGTAAGAGAAACAACTTGGCCTGAGGAGAAGGCATAACTTCTCTGACTCCACTGCAGGATAGTACCTCTCCTCTCTCTCGCCACTGTGATCCTGGGCTCTTTCTCTGAGAAGGCAGTGGAGGGACAGTTCTCACTGCAAGTTGGAACTGAGCTGGGCTGGGCTGTGCAGAGCCAGACACACAAGGGGCTGCCTGTGGAATGATGAATAAGTGTGCCTACTGGGTGGGGACAACTGGGATACGTGGGACTGGATGGTTGTCTCCAGGGCTGGGTTTGGGGTGATCTGGATGCCTATCTGCATCTCCAGGAGGCAAGATGGCAGCTGGACCAAATGGGCTGGAGGAGTGGGTGGGCAATGCATACCTGTTTGTGGAGTCCTCGCTGGACAAGGTGGTACTGTCCGATGCCTACGCTCACCCCCAGAAGAAGGTGGCAGTGTACAGCGCTCTTCGGACTGCATTGGCAGGTTCGTTGTTGAGTCACTTGGAGAAAAGGCGGTGGCTTTTTGTGGGCTGAGTCAGGAGATGAGCCCCCCCCCCCAACTCTGTAGGCATGTGCCTGACTACTGTTAGGGAAAAGATTTGATGGGAAGGGGAGGAGGTGGACTGGCTGCTTAGGCTCTCTTCTTTGTTACTCATGTGTGCCCTTGAGTGTAGACATGTATCCTCATGTCTGTGTGTGATCTACCTATGTGTGCACACTAACGTCTCCCTGCTCAATGTCCCCCACGCCCCAGACCAGCCAGCTCACTGCTTTCTACTAATCACGCATTTCTCTCCTCTTTCCTCTCTCACTGCAGCACTCCTTGCCCAAGACCCCTTCTCAATAACTACCTTCTGGGTCCCTCATTCCCATGTCGAGGCAGAGGTTACAGGGGACTGAAGCCAGTTGGGACATCCCACTTGGGCTCCAGAGCAAGATCCCCTCTCCTTCTGGAGCAGAGGGATCCGAACTTGGTGGAGGCTGAAGCTCTGATACCTCCCACCCCTTCCCTGCCCCGCTGGTCGCTGACCAAGATGGCTTGGCTACCCAAGGCATTAGCCCGTCTCTGTGCTGCAAAGTCTCTCCTCACGTCCCTTTTGTCTACCTTAATTTGGGGCTTCAGGAATGGGGCTAGGATGGTACCCACTCCCTGTGATAGGTCCTGGCCTTCATTCTGGCATCCCAACTGTATTCTGGCTGGGAGCTCTGGGGTAACCCCGTGCCCCTCTGTCTGGGGGTAGGGAGGGGGTCTGACCGCGGGCTTCACCTCTCCTCCGACCTCTTGGAGAATGGCCCGGCATGGGGACTGACTGGCGCCTGACTGCCCACCTCCGCAGAGAGCGGTAGCCCAGAAGTGTTGCAGATGCTCAAGATCCACCGCAGCGATCCGCAGCTGATTGTGCAGCTGCGTTTCTGCGGACGCCAGCCCTGCGGCCGCTTCCTCCGCGCATACCGCGAGGGGGCGCTGCGCGCCGCGCTGGAGGGCTGCTTGGCAGCAGAGCTCACCCTGCGCGCTGTGCCGTTGCAACTGGAGCTGCGTGCTGGCGCGGAGCGGCTGGACACCTTGCTGACGGATGAGGAACGTTGTTTGAGTTGCATCTTTGCCCAGAAGGTGAGGCTGGGCTGGGGCCAGAGTCGGGTGGGGCAGGGATTCGTGTTAAGACCCCCACCAACGTCGCATTCCTCTCCGTAGCCTGACCGACTCCGGGACGAGGAACTCGCTGAGCTGGAGGATGCATTCCAGAATCTGACTTGCGGCTCCGGGGGCCAGGGTGGCAATGGGGAAGTAGCTCCAGCCCCCTTGCAGTCCCTGGCCCCCGCTACGTCGGAGAAACCACCATCTCTGCCACCGCCATCTGGCCAGACTTTTCTGTTCCAGGGTCAGCCCATAGGTGAGGTGCTCTTGGAGAGGTAGAGACAGCGTTATCTGGAAGTCGCAGGGCGGGAATGGAAGGGTATTGGTGTGGCCCTGCCCCAGCTCACTCCGCTTTCCACCCCCCCTTCCCTCCCGCAGTGAACCGGCCACTAAGCCTGCAGGACCAGCAGACGTTTGCGCGCTCAGTGGGCCTCAAATGGCGCAAGGTTGGGCGCTCCCTGCAGAGAGACTGTCGTGCACTTCGGGACCCAGTGCTCGACTCCCTGGCCTATGAGTACGAGCGCGAGGGCCTGTACGAGCAGGCCTTCCAGCTCCTGCGGCGCTTCGTGCAGGCTGAGGGCCGCCGCGCCACGCTGCAGCGCCTGGTGGAGGCACTCGAGGAGAACGAGCTCACCAGTCTGGCAGAGGACTTGCTGGGCCTGGCGAATCCCGATGGCGATGGCGGCCCGGCCTAGGCTGGGTACCAGACAAAAGGGTAGTCAGTCAGTTGCCCAGCTAAGGTTTGGAGCACCTGGATGACCCGAGGGTCCCTTCTGCTGCTACTGCTGACCTGTCCATCCACAAGACTTACAACCCTATTTAGCCGAGCTGCTGGGCAGAGTTGACTGCCTTCTCCAGGAGTCAAACAAGCACCCACCATGCCTGCTGTGGTGCCCTTGGGAATTCACCCCAGTACCTTGGTAGAGTGTGAGGGTGATTTGTTGCAGAGGTCGGCCTCACTTCACCCACCCCAGAAGAGGGGCTTCCAGCCAGTCCTTACCTCTTCTCATTGAACAATTCATTAGGCACCTGCTGTGCTTAGGCATCATCCTGGGTGCTGCAAATACAATGGTGAACAAAATAGCCGAATATTGCCTGCTCCAAGTTGACACTCAGTGTGGGGCTCCAAATATTAAGCCACAGTAATAAAATGTTACCTGTTTATTTTTAAAATTTTTATTTATTGATTTTAGAGAGGAAGGGAAAGAGAGAGAAAAATGCATCCACTGGTTGCTTCTTTTATGTTCCCTGACCAAGGATCGAGCCTGCAACCTTGGCATGTCAGGATGATGCTTTAACCAACTGAGCTATGCAGCCAGGGCCTGGTACTTGTTTCTTGATGTGAAAAATACAAGGAATTTTGGGAGCACTGAGGAGGGGCCTAACCCAGGTTATGGGGTTAGGCTTCCAGAGAGAGAGATATGAGTGTGAATAGGGGAAGGTGTGTGTCTG